GCCCAAGCATTTCATCCTGGGAAGGTTACATCAGCAGAGCATTGCTGGGAAATCTCATCTGTAATCTCACAAGATCTCAGGGAAAGGCATCTTCCTCCCCTGAGATGATGTGCATGGTCACATGTCCTAGTCACATGTGCAAGAGTTCCGTGAAGTAAAGGGAGATCTAGTAATCTGCCTTTAGTTAAAATGGCCACTGTCAGAAGAATGGGGAAGAAAAAGAAAAATAAGGCATGCAAAGCACAAAAAAACAGCAATTATCTAGAATATCTGTTTGTAGATTGTCATTACTAAACATTTTTAAAGGTGCCTTTGTTGTTAATTTGAAGATGGGGGTAAAGTTCCTTTTTAATGGGAGTGTCTGAAAAATGCTTGAAAAGCCTATTTCAGGCTCTCCCATTAAAGTCTATGCCCACTTAAAATTCTTTGGAGCCAAAAACAAACACTCAGTTTTGCTCCCATACTAAGTAGTGCATAAACCCACTTGAAAAACACATGTACAAACAGCTGCTTTTCGCTGTGTCAAACAAATTGCTGATCCGGAGGGCTGGTACTTACTTTTACAAGGCAAGCTTCAGGATTTGCCTAGACTTACTATGCTCCCAATACCAACCCAATTCCTTTTCTCACTCATATTTGCTCCCTTTTGGAAGCACATGCACTGGGCACTTTATTATTGTGTGGTCCTCAATCCTCTGTTAGATATGTACTTCTCTGCCTCATATGGTCAATCTCCTCATAGTAAATATTTTCAGACTCTTTTATTGCAGCATAACTTAGTAGATGTTTGGAGGGAACACCATCTTAAGGATTATTCTCATTGCTCACATCCCCATCCCACACAATCCCTGATAGATCATGCCTTTCTCCTTCGACGCTCCCTTCCTATCCTATCTTCTCATCCCCTCCGGATCGTCTGGTCAGATCATGATGCTATTCTCATTGTGTGTTCCTTATCCTCCAGGCCCCTCAATCTTCCCCTTGGTCCCTGAAGGAATCCTTGTTCTCTATTGCGGAGGTTCTGTCAGAAGTGCGGGCCCTTACCTTTGAATATTTTCAGGTCAACGCTGGCTCGGTGTGCTCTGGTGTTACCTTGTGGGAACCCTATAAACCAGTGCTTAGGGGTCACATGATTCAGATTGCTTCGAGACGCAAGCGTGAATGTAACTTACATATACAGTGTCTTGAAACTGTTCTGGCATGCCCTCAGATACCTTTAAGGCATCACGAACCCCTTCTAGCAGGGCGCAGCTGGAGAAAATCTGAGCAGATTTGGATCTTTGCCTTACGGATAGAGCAGAGCGCTCCTTACGGTGGACGCAGCACTATTATTCTAAAGGAAATAAACCTGGTACTCCATTGGCTAAATGGCTCAGCACTCTCGACACTGCCCCATCTATGACCCCTATCTCTCTTCAGACAAGATTTCATGTGTGCACTAGTGTTCCTGTTAAAATTCTCACTAAGTTCCATCTACATTTAGCTAAACTGTACTCCGCCCCTTCTTCCCCTTTCCTGGAATCTATTTGTGCTTTACTTAATCGAGTCCCCCCTCCCGAGTCTCCCTACTGAGACTCTTGACCTATTGGACTCAGATTACTGTTTCTGAAATTCAGCAGGCTATCAAATAAACTAGCCAAATAAACGTCCTGGCTCTTGTGGCTTTTCAGCCATATTTTACAAGAAACCGGACATGGATCCACACTCATGGTTGAACTATCACCTGATCTCCTTAATTATTATTGATGTTAAGATTCTCCCGAAAGTTCTGACCGCGCATGTCATAGTTACATAGTTAGTCAGGTTGAAAAAAGTCCATAGAGTTCAACCTATGGAGAACTCGTCAATTAGATTTTGGGGGCACTGTATACAAAAGATCAGGTTGGCTTTACGCCTCACAGGCAGGCTAGCAACAGTATCGGCCAAATATTGCATTTGATGCACCTGGCCAAGACTCGTTTTCAGTAGCTTATATTTTCTTTGGATATTTCCAAAACTTTTGACATGCTATTGTGGCCATACCTTTTTGAAGTCCTGCAGTCTCGGGGCTTTGGTCCCTATTTCATATCTTGGAGTAGGGCCTTATATTCGGCCCTTCAAGCCAAACTAAAATACTGTGGTTTTGAGTCCCTTGTTTTTCCTATTGTTCGGGGCACCCGATAGGGATGTCCCCCGTTACCCATTTTGTTTATCCTAGCTCTTGAGCTTTTGGCTGAATATGTTAGAACTCACGTGGATATTAGGGGTGTTGAGATTGCTGGAATGCACCATTAGCTCTTCTTATTTGCTGATGACGTACTCTTGTCCTCGTGACTAGTCCTCGAATTTCTCTCCCTAACCTCCTCAGTGAGTTGTCTGGGTTCGTGGCGGTCTCTGACAATCCAAATCCCAAGCTTTGAATGTATTTCTGTCCTCCCAGACTAAAAGTAGCTTTCGTCTCGATTTTCCCTTTTTAAGTGGCTTTTCTCTCAAATATTTGGGCATTTTCCTTACATCCTCGTACAACACTCTCTACAATGTCCATATTCTTCCCCTTCTGAAATCTCTTTATAAATTGTTGGAATCTTGAAAACGGTTTCCTATTTAATAGATAGGGAGTATTTGTGCTATCAAAATGTCTTACCTTCCTAAACTTTGTTTTTAGGGTCCTGACTATTTTTGTCCTGAGTCATATTTTTCATATCTTGCAGTATAAAGTTCTCTCTTTTATATGGGGTGATTCTAGGCCTCCTGTTAACCAGCGGATATTTTATCGGCCTAAATTACAGGGAGGCCTGGCGGTTGCACATCTTTGCTCTTACTACATAGCATCTAATATTGCTCTTTTAACTCTTCTGCATTCCACCTCTGAACTTCCTCTTTGGGCTTGCCTGGATGTGACCTAAATCCACCCTATCCCTATATCCACTCTCCTATGGCTGCCCCCTGCGGATCACCCAATACCGCTTAATCCGAGCTTGTCTCACTCTTTTAAGATTTAGGATAGTGTGAAATATTCCTGTAACTTAAAATCCCCACACTTACCCCTTTCTTTCTTGTTGCATTCTCTTCTTTTTCCTCCAGGATTTTCTGACCCACTCTCTTTCTCTTGGTTGGGGAAGCACGGTTGCACAACAGTCTATTCTTTACTGTGGCATCAAATCTTTTCAACACCCGCGAGACTCTCATAGCATTCCTGTGGTGGAATGCTATCGTTACATGCAGATTCGACACTTTATTTCATCTCTCTTGAAGGATAATCCTTCTCCTTTAACTATCACTCCATTTGAGCGTTTTTGTCATACTAACTCACATGCCCCTGGCCTTATTACCCTACTTAACTCTTCTATAAAGTCTCCTTCCACCCTTGTGCCCTCATCCTATCAGTGTAAATGGCGGGAGGAATTGGGTAGGTCTTTGTCTAACGATGAGTGGGCAGCCATTTGGGAGTCTACGGTGCGTTGCTCTCGTAATGTGCTCACACTGGAGAATTGTTATAAAGTGTTATACGGGTTGTATTACACACCCTCACGCCTTGCGAGATGCATCCCATCATATCCTCCTAATTGCTTTTGAGGTTGCTTGGAGCAACGTACCATGTTCCCGATCTGGTGGAGCTGCCCGTGTGACTAAATTATGGAATAGGGTGTACAATCTGATTCCTTCTACGGTATTGTACATGTTCAGCTATGCTGGGACTCATGTGAGGCATCACTGTTGAAACCGATTCCATACTTGAATGGCTGAGAACGGATTTTGGTGACCCATATGTTTGTAGCAACTAAAATAGCCATAGCTAGAGCTTGGAAATCCCCGTACCTGCACTTTGAGGAAGTTAAACATCTTCTCAAACTCACAGCAATATTGTCTGACACCCATGCTCACTTTTTAGCGATATGGCAACCCTGGATTGACTTTTCCAGGCCACCCACTTTTTAAAATCTCAATTACTTACCTTATTCTGCTCCAGTTTCTTCTTTTTTGTCCTCCTTCTGGCTTTCTTGACTCTCCTTTCTATCCTTTACTCTAGGTTTTTCTTTCTCTCTTCTTTGCCCCTATTTCTATCTCTTGTTCTACTACTCTTGTTGCGCTTTTGCAGCTTTTCCTTTTCTGAACGTTTCTTCATTTTTGTTTCTTCCCCCGAGTTTTCTGCTCATGGCGATAATAGCCTTAGGGCTGTTTGTACTTTTTGATGCTTTTGTTTGGGATTCATATGTATCCGGTCCTTCGGGTCACTGCCTTAGCCTCATAATTGTTTTTTTGTTCTCTACTTCAATATGAGCTAAACTCAGTGTCATACCCCTTGTTATTTACCGGTTTATCATTTTGTTAAAGTTCTCAGTTTACCAAAAAATAAAAATATTGTGCAAGAAAAACACATATACAAGCGAACAAAAAAGCCTTAAAATTGCCTGGCTATGCGCTTACTTTGGTGCCAAAGCAGCCTTACGCATGTTCCTACTCCTGAAGAACTGCTCTGCTTATCTAGAACTGTTAGCCAAAACCAAACCGCCTGAAGCTTGATATACAGTGGCGAAACTACCGCCGGTGCGGGCGGTGCCGCCGCACCGGGGCCTGAGGCTCTGGGGGGCCCAGTGGGGTCCGGTATCTTGGGAGGGGGGCCCAAGATAAAATCTTGCACCAGGGCCCTTTGGTTATTAGGTCCGCCACTGTTGATATATATGCAAAAAGTTTTAAGAAATATGCATTTACTTGCGTACAAAATGTGCAAAAAGGCGCTTCAATGTCCCCAGAAATAGGCTGTGCTGAAGTGTGAATGTAGGCTTAAAAGAAGCCAATGAACTTCAGAGCACACCAACAATGCTTCCAGGTCAAACTCATTTTCTAAATACCCAAACTGCACGCTTTTATTGTACGGAACAACCAATTAACACCAAAGCCCGAAGCCTGGCTAAGTTTCGTCGCCCGTCCCAATGGGAGGAGGAGGCGGCGGCGGCATCCTTTTCCCTCACTCCTCTGTTACGTCACTTCCGGCCCCTAGTGCCCAAGCTACACACAGTTGCAGGAAGAAACAACAGCCGCCATTTTGTTTGTGTGTGAGGGATGGTTTCCGGGCTTGATATGTATACCTACTGCGACGGCTTTACATTCAAGAAGGACTTACAGAACAGCACGTGTTTCTCATTGTAATCTACCTTGGAGCCGAAATCTGAGCGGAGCAATAAGAAAGAGAGGCCTGGCTTATAGCACCGGCGATCCGTGCCCGGTGGGGGAGGGCTAATTGAAAGAGCCTTTATCCTGTCGTAGGTCCTGGGACAGCCATCATCGGTCAGAGTGATCCTTTTTGCTCTCTTCTAGTGATCTTCCTAGAACGGGAGCATTTAAGGGCCACAAACTGCAAGTAGTAAAGTTCTGTACCGGTGCAATAATGCCATCTGTGAACGAGGAGAAGCCGTGCAGCTGTACGCCGACACTGTGTCATCGTAAACCCCAGTGAGCCTTCCCGGGAATGGTGCTGTATGAACAGGCCCTGCCTTCTGTCCTCCAGTAAAGTTGGTGGGTGAAGCGCTAATACAATGCTTTAAATCTACGTGCAGGAGGGACATAGGTGGATGTCTTCCCTCAGTACCGCTCTTAGAAAAGCTGACACCGTCCTTGTGCTCATGAAAAGTCTCGTTCTTGAACTGTAAATAGGATCTGCTCTGCCTGGGAATACATGGTGCCTAATGGCAGTCTGTTATTAGGTCTTAGGAGTGGTGATCGCAAGAAAACGTCATGGCCGAAAATATGCTTGATTCTGGGCCTCCTTCAGCCAAGAAGCCCAAGATGTCTTCTCCTGCTCTGTCTTCCAGTGATGGGCCAGGTAATGGGTTTTCCTATATTGACATACTGAATATTTCTTCTTCTCCTTTTTTTGTTTTCCATTTTCTTTTGTATAATTGTGTTCTGTATGCAGATACTACTACAGGTTAAACACTCACCACACACACATTCCAATCTGATTGTATAAGCTTCTTTAGATCTGCCAACAATTATGAATTGCAAGAGCCTGTCTGTATACAAATTGATTGAGTTTAGGTAGGTCTTCATATTGCATTGTTTTGGTAAATCTCGAGGAGGTTGTACAGTCAGATTGTAATGTGTATGGTGATCATTATACAAGACTGAAGTAAATGTTGCTCTGGTTACATGCAGAATGTTGTAAGACATAAAACACAATTTATGGGGTGAGGGTATGTGTTCATATTTGATGATCAATAAAAAAAAAAGTCTGCCTAAAGTATTCACATATAGGCTTAATATTAGGCTTATTTCTGCACATTTTTAATTTTTTTTTTTTATTGATAACCCATATTCATACGTGATTTGAGCTTTATCTGTACAACTAAAACAAAGCAGTGCAGCTTAAACAGTTGATTTCTGAGATTCCAGAAGTGAGGTTTCTTTGCAATAATTTGTGTACAAGGCCATGAAGGATATTGCTTTGTCTTGGCTGATCTTCCCAGTTACTTTTTTAAAATGATATACTGTCAATGGAGGGAGCCATGACGCTGTCATTTGGCTTTGCAGTGGCCGTGGCATTGGGAGTTTTGGTGAGGCTCTAACAGATTCCTCAACTATTTCCTGATGTGCACTCTATTAGTTGTGCAGAGCCAAGCAAATATGATGTATGTATGTATTTCTTCACAGAAGTATTTGTAGAACAAAATATTTTCACTGGGGATTCTCTCTGTTTTCAGTAAAAGCTCAGTGCATGGAGCAGAGCCTGGATCTGAGTGATCAGCCCTGACCAGTTGCTCACAACCCATGATTCATAGCCCTGACCAGGCTTCTCAGAGGACCGCTCTTTCTTTTGTGTGTTGAAAAGGGAGATTGTAACTTTCCCTTTTCCTGCTGTAGCATTTTGGCACTAGGAATGCATTTAGGAGTAAAGCATATCTGACCCCCTTCCAGACATACTGCAATACTGACATGTGCACAACATACGCCTTATTTACAGCCATGTAGTGAAATTTTTGTCATCTGTGTCTGTTTATTCCCTGCCTAAAGAGAACCTGTCATCAGTCATGTATTAAAAAGAATAAATCGGTGCTACAAAGAAGATCGTCTTTACCACCTTTGTGGTGGCCCTTGTCTTGAAATGCTGCTGCAGCTATTAGATCCTTCTGGGCAGGTGCAGGGGTTTCCTCCCGCCAGCTTGTATGTCCAGCTGTGACAAGCATAAGTTCTTCTTTACAGGCCTTCTTTTAATAGTGACCCTGTGGTGACGGGGTCATTTTAAACACCCACAACCCCCATTTTTGTCTTAGAAGTGGGTGCATCACAACTCGCTCTCCACACCCCAGTCTTGCTGCTCTGACTCTCTTCCACCATCCATAGTATGTTCAGCGTTTGCTCTGTTTTGTCCATCTCTTACACTTTCCATGGTATGTTCTTTTGAACTTTTCTTCCTGTTCTTCATGCTGTGTTCTCTGTCATCTCCATCCCACCAATGGTCATGCTACATCCTCTAGCAGATTTTTTCCCCATTGTCTGCACTGTATTCTCCTGAAGCTCTTTGATTAGTCTGCAGCAGCTCTTCTTGCAACTCTGCCCCACTGTTTGTATTCTCTCCATAGTGCCATATATGCCCCTGGCGCCCAACACATGACCCACCATTGCTCTGTGTGCGGCCCACGGTGTCATGTGCTGGCAGAGGCTCAAGTGTCAAGCATTTGGTGTCACAAAGCAGCAGCTTGATGGTGAAATTACCACGTCAAAGCAACATTGGCTGCTTTCACCATAGCTCTGGTCACATGGGCTGTCAGTTGATCATGTGACTCTGTGAGCCTGCTAGTCCCACCTTGCTAAAGAAGAGAGCTAAACGGTGGAATGGAAGTCCAGATATTGTAAATTAAAGTAGTTTGAAACTCTACAATTATACTCACAAAATAATGAATCCAGATCAAACAAAATATACATTGTCCAGTAATGTATATCTTTACATCTTTCCCAAGCAGTTAGTCGTCATGTTTCTGAACAGCTGCTTCCAATTCTCTTAGGTCCACTTCCCTGAACATCCTGTCCAGTACAAGATCACAAGGGGCTAGCTTGGAGAAGGGAGCAGGCAGTAATGGCTTGCCTTGCTGTGTGTTTGTGGTGGCACACATGGCTTGCTAGCACACACAAGTGTGGCTCCATAGGACACTGCAGGGTAAAGGAGTCATCCTAAGGCCTAGTTCACATCTGGGCGTTTTACAGCGCGTTCCTACATGCTGTAAAAGGCTCAACATGGGAAAACCAATAATTGCCTATGGGCATGGTTCCCACCTGGGCGTTTTTCAACGCTTAGGAACGAGCTGTAAAATGCCCTACGCCCAAAGAAGTACAGGAGCTTCTTTGGGGCATATTTGCCGCGCGTATCTATTTGGATACAGCTGGATAGCTCTCGGAAATGCGTGCTTATCGATCTTTTCTTTTACCGCAAATCGCGGTGCAAACTCGCATATTCCGTACGCCCAGGTGTGAACCCAGCCTAAGGGCTCGTTCACACCATCTGCCTTTGGGCTGTTCTGCCCATTTTTTCCAGCACAGCCCAATTGAAAGACAAGAATTTTTTTTCCCCTCGGTGGTAATACTTCGCAACACTGCAGTTCGGTGGTGCATGCTTTTTTTTTTTAAGCGCACTGCAGTGAGAGGTGGTACAACCGCATCGTACCACGGTGAGTCTGTAGAACTTGATTAGATGTTACTTCTGATATTTCAATAATGTTCTGTAATAAAAAATAAACAGTGTGACGTGGCTTGATCTAGCGCATTGGCACTGTCCGGGCACACTCACACCAGCTACCGTGCAGTTGAGCGGAGCTGCTGGTGTGAACAAGCCCTATAACAGAATATCGGGGCCAGTGCTCAGGGGACCAGCTGATTCTGCAGGAGACTAATACTTTAAAACATCAAGGAGCAGCATCCATTGTAAGAGAATTAATCAGAATTTGAAATAGCTTAAAACAATTTGATTTAATATCACTTTAAATACAAGTTAATCTAAGTTAGTTTTAAATCAATCTTTAATATTTTTTTTAAACAGGCACTTTTATGGAGGGCACATTTTTGAGCTGTGCTAATATATGTTTGCTTTATATTAAGGAAGCACATTGAAACTAACTAATCCCAAAATAGGACATGTCACAAAACATGTAATGCAATGCAACATGTATTACATTGCACTGCAACACATGTGTATTGCTGTAGTGTGTTGTGATGTCATACAAAATGAGTGGCACTTTAGTGCAAGTGATGTGTGTTATCACAGCACAAAGATATAAATGGTCCCGAAATTTAGTGACACTAAACTCAGGATTTACATTTTAAAAATACATTCAAGTGCCCTATCAATTAACAAAAATGTACCTTATTTGTGCATCACTTAACCACTTGCCGTCCGCCCGTTGTAAAAAAACGGACGGACAGCACTGTCGTGTTGCCGTCGCCAGACGGCATTTTTTTTTCTGCTCGCGCGCGCCCCCTGGCGGGCACGCACAGGCAAAAAAGACCCGACCAATGCAAACACCCGTTACCGGGTGTTTCACATATAGGCGATCAGCAGTTCAGACATTGGCATTCCCAGGACGCGTGTAATCGTGCAGAATTACACACAGTGGTTACCACATGGTCCCATTGGTTTCAATGGGGTTACATCCACACCGCAATCGCTAAAAAAAAGATACATGTACCTTTTTTTTGCGACACACGACGCCCGGCTTTTTTAGCTGCAGTCGTGTTCAATTGCACGGCGGTATCGTGGCCGGAAACTGTGCAATCTGCCCGGCACGACTGGGGTGCCATTAGAAAAAAATTGGCTCCGGCAGCGTGATCGGCGGCGGTGGGCGATTCCGTGAACGCCCGGCTTTCCACACGGTTTCGTGCACTATTGCCGTGCGGTCACGGATCACCATAGTGTGAACCTGGCCTTAGCTGTAGATCCTCAAATCATCTGTGCGTTTGTGCTGACACTGTCCTTCCTTCAGAAGTGTGACTACTTCTGTTCCCCATGGTTCCTGTATGTGTTGTAAAGTAGCCACCACTCCAAGCTTAACTCTTGAGTTTAGTGTCACTTTAAGGAAAAACAAGTAACAAATAGGAACAGGAAAGAAGGAATTACGTCAATGGCCCATTCACACCAGACTACGCACGTTTTTTGGCTCGAGGTGCGCTGTTAGGAGGCCCATTCAAAATAAATTGACTGCAATGCACCTCAATGCCTGAAAATGTAGTGTTTGCTACACTTGTTTTTGCAGTGCAGCACACCAAAATTCACATAGTGAGTGTGTTGCAGCACAGGTTGCGTTGTTAAGGTGATTGACACTTCAATGTACCAACAAATGTACAGTGCCTTACTGTGCATTGCAGTAAGCTGCGCATTTTCATGTGCATTATCACAATGCACTAATGTATCAATGGTATTTTGTGGCCCTTTGGACATGTTGAGGACTGTACTTGAGCCTTTTATATTTACCAAGTTAACCATCTTCATCATGTTGTTCGGAGTTACATTCTAATCCTCCTTGCTTTGAATGATCCTTTAGCCCTTAGCCTAGCGTCTCGGGCATAGGATGTTGTCTCTTGGATGCCATAGTGGAGACAAAATCTCCTTGGACCTATACAATGCCACCTCACCTTTTGATAAATAAGGAGCCCTGTGTGTGCTAATCTTGCTCCCTTCCACTAAGCTCCACCCCTTTGCCTAGTCCTACCTCTTGTCAAAACTGTGTTATGTACGGTAAAAATAGCTGCTCCAAAATTTTGCACACCATGAGAACTACCGTTCCCTCTGGAGTGATAAACTTAAAGTATTTTTCATGACCTTTTGTCTACAATCTT